AATTATAGATGTGTAGGACTATACATTATTTGGATAATTAGTGAAAAAAAACCAACAACAACAACAACAACTTGTTGTGTATATGATTCTGTTACATAGAAGTGAATAAAAATAATATATTGATATTTAATATTAAGGTAACACTTTTCAATAAGGTTCCATTAGTTAATGTTAGTTAATGTATTAACTATCATGAATGAACAATGAACAATACATTTATTACAGTATTTATTAATCTTTCTTAATGTTAGTTAATGAGAATACAGTTATTCACTATTAGTTCATGTTATTAACTGTTAACAAGCACAACTGTTGATTTTAATAATGCATTAGTAAATGTTGAAATTAACATGAACTAAGATTAGTAAATGCTGAAGAACTATTGTTCATTCTTAGTTCATTAACTAAAGTAGGTAACTAATGAACCTTATTGTAAAGTGTTACCAATATGAATTAATATAAATTCTGTCCAGTTTTATTGTTACTTTCAGTAAAAGTGTAGTTATTTTATTGGCTTTTGTTTTTTTTTTAATTTAGTATCATTAAAATAGTTAAATTTAAAACAAAATTAACAAAATTACTAAACATTATTTTTTTAAAATAAATAAATAATCATTACAAAGCATTTTCGGTTTCAGCCAAGTGTATCCAGAATTTTAGTTTTCCGTTTCGGCCCAGAATTTTCATTTCGGTGCATCCCTAGATGTAAGACTACATGTTTTTAATTTATTAATTTAAATTTAACAGTAATTTACTTTCAAATGACCCAATTGCTGAAGGGTCTGCACAACTTTTTAGTAAGTTGCACTGTTCTAACCACAACCTCGCCCCTCCCCACCCCCCAACCATTCGAATTTCTGTAGGCGGGAATCATTTTAATGATATTCTAATTTGCCACTTTGTGACATCACAAAACCCAGAAAACATCATTGTAGTCCAAACGAGCCGTTCGTTGAAGTTCATGAAAAGGGATTTTTTTCGAAAATACGAAATATCTCCCTTTGGAGTGGACTTTGAGATTTGTAACTTTGTAGATCTTTTTTTATGCCCAACCATACACACTACACACTGACTAAAATTCAAAAAGTGAAAAAGCATAATATGACCCCTTTAATGAATAGCTTCGGGTTCGGGTCGGGCTCGGGTTTATAGCTAAATTAAAACTATATGCAGTAGGCTACGCTGCTTTCATAGACGCACGCACACACATTAGTGCACACGACAAGACAACACAGCACGGAAACTTTTATTAGTAAAATAGCTTTGACAGGCTACTGACTGGCAACTTTATATTTCTCTGCAATGAGGGGGTAAAATCACTGTTTTTGAAGTAACTAAAGGCATATTTATACTTCTGCGTCGCAGACCGCAAGCGCTGTGATTGGTCTGCAAGAACCCCTCCCTCCATATGTACTTGAGTTTTGTGTGTGTTTATGTGCACTTCAATATATTTTAATGTTACACCTTCTTATATCAAATAAAACAAAGCAAAGAACAAATGTCTTATCATTTATTATACTACATAGCATTATACATCAATAGTTGTCCGCAACAAACAATGTTGATCTGCTGTGGTACAAGTCCTTGTGCAGATTGAAAGAATGCCATCATCTCCTTTTAAATAATGATTTGATATTTATTTGCCGCGTCACGGCTATAATGCTTCTCCGACGAGCCGCTTCTTCTTCGGCTTTTGCCGTGGTACTGCGGGTTACACCAGCAACATGCCCTTGGACACTGCAGACTAGCGGTTTGCATGTGTACTGCACGCTGACGCGGACAACGACGCAGAAGTATAAATGAAAAATTACGCATAGCCTACGGCGTAAAGGGTACCGCATGCAAACCGCTAGTCAGCAGTGTCCACGGGCATGTTGCTGGTGTAACCCGCAGTACCACGGCAAAAGCCGAAGAAGAAGCGGCTTGTCGCTAACAATTTAAAGTTAAAACTGCTTAATGATGGAATTGTTTCTTACAAACATCTAAATTTTCATTTCACAAGACTGGAGTGGTTTACTGGGTGATTTTTTTTCCATCAGCTCTTTCTGACGGCACCCATTCACTGCAGAGGATCCATTGGTGAGTAAGTGATATAATGCTACATTTCTCCAAGTCTGTTCTGATGAAAAAACAAAAGTCATCTTGGATGACCTGTGGCTGAGCAAATTTTCATTTTTGCTTGAACTATTCCTTTAAGGTCCTTGCTGCTGCTGCAAAATTGCAACGTTCCCTTCTACAGGGATAAATAAAGCTTATTATACTATACTATCTACTATAGCTGGATGTTGATTGGTAGGGCAAATGTGCTGGTTTGTTCCTAGATGAACCCATGAGTTGTTGAAACATTATAGCACCATTTGTGAAGGTGATTACCTTCGGTGACTATAAGAGATCACTTAAGCAAAGTATAAGGACCCTGCATGACTCAGAAGGCAGAAAAACTGGAGTTGGAGAAGTAATACAAGACACTGATGATGAACAAGATATGTTTTATAGGAAAAAACAACCCAAGTTTATCTTCAGAACAAACAATAAAAGGTCCAAACTGTGAATGTTTTGTCAACAAGTAAACTAATTCTATAAAAGTTAATAAAAAGCAATTGAGCACATTATTACAAAAATAATTTAACACATTTATTTTAAACAAAGGATTTGTTAAACATATAATGCAATGCTATAGACAGCACTGATTGAACTTTAGTTGCCATGTTTATGACCAACTTTATGATATTTATACAAATATCTTAAAATTGCTTTTCTAATGTAAAGACATCATAAAGGGTTAGTTCACCCAAAAATGAAAATTCTGTCATTAATTACTCACCCTCGTGTTGTTCGAAACCCATAAGACCTTCGTTCATCTTCGGAACACAAATTAAGATATTTTTGATGAAATATGAGGTCATCACGCCGGATCTGGGTCAGCGCCACCACACGCTCGTGTCATGATACTGTCGTGAATGTGTGTTTACAAGTGACGCAGTAGAAATGAAAATGGGGAATAAAGTCATTATTTTTGTTTTCTTTGCACAAAAAAGTATTCTCGTAGCTTCGTAACTTTACAGTTGAACCACTGATGTCACATGGACTACTTTGTCGATCATCTTGGTACTTTTCTGGACCTTGAACGTGGTAGTTACCTTGCTGTCTATGAGAGGGTCAGAGAGCTCTCAGATTTCATCAAAAATATCTTAAATTGTGTTCCGAAGATGAACGGAGGTCTTACGGGTTTGGAACAACATGAGGGTGGAGTAATTAATGACAGAATTTTCTTTTTTGGGTGAACTAATCATTTAATGAAAATGTCATGTAGTTCTACTGCATTACATTAATCCTGTGAAGCCTGACATACTGTATGAAATAATATATACCACTCTATATCTCCCAATAAAAATGTCTTAGTAAGAGGGTACTTGAATGTTTTGTAGGTTTTATCATTAAAGCTCTGTCATTTTTATTGTGGGGGCAAAACATATAATGCAATGCAATACAATGATTGAGAGCTTTACAAATAAAAGCCTTCAAAAGCCTGTTCTATCATATTTGATCAATTTAAAAAATAATAATAAATGATGCATGGACAAACAAATAAACCTAAGTTACTTGAGTCCAGTAAGTGTTCATACTGAAATATTACTAACAATATAATAGTTATTTCTATGTTTACCTTATGAATACTGATAAAGGGGGACGTTTTTAGAATTATAGTAAAAAGCCTTAAACTTGCTTTAAAAATAACAATTATCAATCAGATGACAGAAGGCACATAGAATATTGTGTACAACATGCTTTTCAGTAAAGGTTGTTATCATGTTGAAAATTTAAAGGCCTTAGAAATTTGCGTATCAAATATGATACAGTATAGGCTTTATAGCAGGGGTGCCCAAACTCGGTCCTGGAGGGCCGGTGTCCTGCAGAGTTTATCTCCAACTTGCCTCAACACACCTGCTGGTAAGTTTCTAGTATGCCTATAAGAGCTTGATTAGCTGGTTCAGGTGTGTTTAATTGGGGTTGGAGCTAAACTCTGCAGGACACCGGCCCTCCAGGACCAAGTTTGGGCACCCCTGCTTTATAGGGTAAGGGCATTTTGATTTATTTATGGTTTGAGTCTTTCTGAAATGTAGTTACATCAAATGTCAAAGAACAGGTTAAAAATAAAAATTAAATAATGCTCATTTTCCAAATGGGATAGTTTTATTAGGTGGGCTCCAGGGTGGAGGGGGCTCATCCTGAAGAATAGCCTGTATCCTCTTTTCTTTTCTCTCTCTTTTTTGTTGAAACTCTTTTCTTTTCTGTAATAAAATGACCAGGACAATATAAAATCAACATCAATCTTAAAGGAAAACAATCAAAAGATTTTGTTCACAGTATGTTCATTGACAACTAATGTATTTTAAAAACAGATTAAAAACATGTCTCAGTCTCAAAGCATCTGTTATAATAATAATAATCTGTATAATGAAACAATTAATTGGCAAATGACGTTTGACAGGTGATTTAGTTAGTTTGATCTTTTAGCTTAAGAAGAACAACTTAAGCATAGTCATGGATACGTATTATTTTCTAAAACTTTTTTTTACAGAGCAGATTGATGCATTTGATTGAGAAATAGCATGTAAACTTCAAGGCAGGTTGTCTATTCATTAACTTGTGCAGAAATTTGCTGTAACATACCAGCCATTTCTCATACATCTCCAAGGCCATTTTTTCTTTTTCCTCCTTTTCATATTTCTCCTCCACTTCCTTTATCTTCTCCTTCTTGCGTTCTGCCCTTAACTTCTCTTCAATAACATCCTTCTTTTGGTCACTCCTGTAATATGTAAAGCAATTAACGGAAAGTCAAGTTCTGCACAACAGCACAGTTATTAATGTCAGTCTGTAACCTGAGGCTTTACAAAGCGAGCACATTTACATTTTAAGCAATACATAATGGCTTGAGTGACTTGAGCATGACTAAACATGTGCTAATTAACAAAACAAATGAATAAATTAGTGTTATGTATACAATTAAAAATGTATCTTTCATACCATTGAGCGAATGCAGAGATGGAGTCAATCTTTCTCTCTTCTTTTTCTTTGACCTGCTGTAGTTTCTTTTGCCTTACACTGTCTTTAAGGATACTGTCATGCTCCTCTTTCCACTTCTCAAAAACCTGATTTTCAAAATGTTTAGAGTGTGATATATTTATGTGAAAGATTGCATTTAGCAGTATATATTGTATCTACCCTAGTGAAAAATAAATATACAAAAATGTATTTGAAATACATTTATTTTATGCTAAGTATACTACAAATAAATTTACATATTTATATACTTTTGGTATACACTAAACTGGTACACTTAAAGTCTGCTAAATTGGAACAACTATTTTTGTACTTAATGCACTTTAATTGTGTGGAAGTAGTGCTGAACCGATTCTCGATTTTTTTATGATTTTTAACTAGTCAACTTGAAAATGTAACTACAACATGATTCAAGTAACTTTTTCTTTATTAACCCTTTAAAGAAAATTCTATTCCAAGTGCAGCACACATGTTGTCAACATGATGTAAATGTTAAACAAATCACTTTCTTAATGTACAGTATGTGGAAAATAATGTGTTTTTTTTTTTACTTTAAACCGCATAAACATTTCATTACACCAAATACACAAAATAATGTTCTTTTTAGCAGCATCATATGACCCCTTTAACTATACATGTTCTGTAAAAACAGCAGCTTTCAGCCTGTCACCATGATGCAAACATGAAATATCAGTCATACAGTAGTAGTTCTTTACAGGTTTTTTTTTATTCGATTGTGCTGCTTTTCCATTGTTTTTTCTGTGTAAACATGGATGTATTTGACTGTTGCGCTCACGTCTCTTGCAGTGTCTCGTGCATGAAACGCCATTCTAAAAACACTGCGCTCAAGTTAAAAGTTCAATCCCATCTTCTTGCATGTTTTACCTACTCCACTGTAGGGCTGTCAAAATGACTGAAAAACTAAATTCGAATTTTCTACTTAAATATTATAAAAATTTGAATTATATTCGAATTTAAAAAGCATAATTTCAGTTAGGGGAAAAAAGCTTTTGGCTTCTCTCCTGAGGCCACAAGAGGGCGCATCGCGCAAAATATTATGCACGTTTCTTCAAAGCGTAATAAAATAACTCAACAATCTTTGAAAAAAAAGTGCATAATGTTTATAAACCATATATAATTAATAATGTTGCTTAAAAAATTAGAAGAAAAACAGCACCATGCATGCATGTATAGTTTAATACAAAGGACCAAAAACCAATCACAAAGAGTAGGCTACTTTCTTCATTTAAAAACATGAGATACAGTGGGATGGGGAAAAACCACCATAAAGTCTTGAGACATGTTTTTTAAAAGTTGAACTTACATTAATTTTACATGGCTTTCTAAACATGCCGCTCTCTTGTGCCAGACGCGAGTG